TTTTTTTTTTAATTTTGTCCAGTTATTTTTTTTATTTTTGATTTAAATAAATAATTCAAAATGATGGCAGGAATAAATGGAACAAAAACTTGATCAATTCACCAAAATTTGGATATCCAGCTACAAGGAAAAACAAACATAAATATTGAACACTAATAAATCTCTATTTACGAGCATGCACGTAGCAGAAGTTGAAAAAGGAAAAAGGCTGGAGAATGAAAGACCAATTTAGATACTCGTCACAGAAGGGAATTTTCATCTTTCTTAAATTCATACAAGAAAAAAACGCATAAGTTAAAATGTCGTGATCGTGTTTACGGAAAATGCTAGCTTCGCGACCAAACAACCCGATCAATCTCCAAGTTCTTGCAATTTATGACCTGCTATGGAGTTCAAAACCCAAGCATTGCTTGCTACCACAGCTCCAGATGACCTGGCAAGACTCTCCGCGTGAGAAAGTCTCTGTTTCAAGATCGAACTTCCATTACACGGCCTGGATTGATGATCGGTTAGCTCAATGCTGTAAATAATGAATGTTTTCGCATTGCTTTTGACAAATGAACTTGAATGTTCTCCCTCAACTGGCTTCCGGTTGAGAACTTTTCCTCCAGCTGCAATTACAAGATCGTGAAGGTATCCTTTGTATGAAGTCTCAAAATCGCCCGTGAAAAAGAATGAGAATCCGTCGAACAGCTTAGGTTGCTGCATGCAACAGCAAAAGCGATTAGTAAATTTCTGAACGTAAAAAGCTTTTGAAATGGTAAAAAGTAGCAATCAAGGGGAAATTTGCTATCTTTTGGCGCAACTGAGAATCTTGATTTCACCAAGTCACATCAACACTCAAATTTTTTTTACCTTATTTATTACTCTGGATCTTCCAAGCTTGGGCCCATCTCTGATTCCATGAATGTCGATCGAGATCTCATAGTGAGTTTCATCAACTATTTCTCCAGTCTCAATGCAAGCTTTAATCCCTGCATCAACACAGTACAATATTATTAAAATAAGTAGTCAAATGAAGAGAAGGTGCATTGCTTAATTATCTGAAAGACTGAAAGTAGTGTCTTTAGGGTTATTCTATACAATGTACAAAGACCAGTAAGTCAGTTACTTACATTCGACACTCAATATCCATTTTCCTTCCAAGACGCCCATTAAGTATTTCAGTGTTCGTCTGCACGCCCCATTCTCATCTGTGGATGCAATTATGTGGGTGATAGTCGGATCCCAGTTCTTCAGTATTGTTACTCCAGACAAGTTCTCAAAGTTCGTAACAACTTCCTTTATTTGAACCATAAAAGTTATATATGAAATAAGATTTTGGGTCAGAAGTCCGAGTTAGACAATGGGTCAAGTCAAATTACTGACATTCTTTTTACCTTCTCTGTATTGGTGAGAGCTGAACAACATAGAACCAAACTCTTGAGCTTCTTCTGAGTTTTCCACTGCATAGTTGAACCACTTTTACATTCATCAGAGGCTTTTGCTTGATGGATGCTAGACTTTCTGCTACAATAACAAGTCATTAATTGCAATAAATCAATAAAAAGTGAAATCTCTTGAGGTGCACAAAATCTCTGACAGCTAATGCTTGGAGAACCAAGAAACATACTTTTCTGGGGCAGATTTTCTTTTCCGACTGGATTGAGATTGTGCCGTATTATTTGGCAGTTGAGACGAAGCATGAATTGGACATAGCATGACAAAGTTTTCCTGTGAAGTGTTGTAAACAAAAGAAAAAAGATTAGTTCACAATTTCTTTCCTCAGGTTCCATAAAGACTGGCCATATTTATTCATACTTACAAAATCCCACCGACACTCTGGAGTAAGCCTGGCACAAGTGACATGAAAACTCTTTCGGCAACTCTTCTCGTAGCAGCCTAGAGCAGCCCCTTTGATTCCACAGCAGCAGCATCTAATTCTCTTGCTTCTAGACAGTTCAGCTTCTAGGTTGATAACATTATCATTATCAAAATACACATTGGGAGCCCTGCAAAAGATATAGCCATTTGTGTTCATATAAGTAATTGAATAAACAGCCTTATCTAACTCAACAACCAAAATCTGCATGACCGATTGATTGTCCACATTCAAGATGCTACAGATGCATATTTAAATTTATTTATTTTTTTTCAGATGAATTCCCATGTGTTGCTATTAACTTAACATAATATGTATACAGATGATTATTTGAGCATGGGTATAATAAGTACACGAGTAGGATGTACACAGCAAAATGGTATAGCTAATAAGATAATTTCTTTAGTTTACAGGACTTAGTAAACTACAAAACCCCCACCCCACAAAGGAAAGCCAGTTAGAAAGTTATACCATTCCGTGCAATTTTTGTGGACATGTATAGCATCTTTATTTGCATTGTGATTTTCTGCCACTAGCTTCCCATTGAGGTAGTGAACCATGCTTCCTGTTGCCTAAAATTTTGGTTTTGAATCCAAAAAATGACAAAAGATTGATATTCAATTAACATATTGCATCAAGATGAATCAAGGGACAGTTAACAAGGCAACAATCCAAATATGAGATACCTCAGACTCCTCAGAAGACTGACAGAAAGCACAGTGGAATGTAGCAGATGTATTACATTTAAGCAAAATCCCACCATTTAAAGATAAAGTTGCTTTATCCATTTTGGGAGGAACTTCCGACTTTATTTGCTCTGTTACATCTGCACTTTCTTGATGTGACTTGCATCTCGAGACACCCTTCTCGTCAGAATTTAAAGTCAAACCAGCACAGATATCCTTCGATGTGCCATCAGCAGAGAATTTTACCTTCTTCCGAGATTTTGGAAGTTTACCACTTTCTTCTGTGGAAGTATTTGTAATGCCCCTGCTCAAAACTTCTTTTCTGACAGTTGGCAATAACTTATTGCATGACTCAGGGTCTAGAACATTATTTACTGGCTCTGTAGTCATGTTGCCATTGCCAGTCCCCGAGTTTCCACGTTTCACTCTACTCCCAAACTTCTCTCGCTTAGACAGTCTTTTAGTGGTGCTTTTGCTGCTTTCACCACTCATTTTCAGCTTGCTTTCTGTTTTATTGATTTTTTCAGCATTTTCTGAAGCTGAAACACTAGGAGTCAGAATATCCTTGTTGTTTGGCAACGGTCGTGTTCCATCACATACGTTTGGGATTTTTTCCTCCCGGCTGCTAGCACCAGGGTATACCTTTTTGCTCTTTCTCGGTTTTCCCCTGGAAATAGATGGATTGACTTTATTGCCTTCCAAAATATTTTGGGTTATTACCATGTCAGACTCAACATGATCTGCAATTTCCTCACAAAGACTTTTTTTGGCTCTTTTCCTCTTTCTGTTCTCAGTTGAATAGCTGACTTTCTTATTTGACATTTCTATTCCATTTTTCTGCTCAGAGACTTTGGAGTTCTTCCTTTTCTTACTTAAATACTTTTTCTTGTTCAGACAAATCTTTGGCTCTGTGGTTATTTCTTTTAAGTCATTCTCAACCTTCTGTTTATTACCACTCTCTTCAACGGGGTCCTTAACCTGAGCAAAACATTTAACTCAATGGCTTGCCAATAATTGGAAGAGGTCGAAATTGATTGTAATCTTTCTTTGCATTTGTAACTAACATACCTTCATTGCTAGTGGGCACGAACAAAGTTCAGGAGAGCAAGGCCTCTGCGTCCAATCAAACATCTCACTGTCAAAAAAATCTGTTCTATTTGGTAATTCTCCCATTCCTCTCTGTAAAGGTCAAAAGATGGAATATTAACATACTATCCAGAATGTAAAGAACAAAAGACATTACAAAGGCTTCATTGAATTAAGGTCAACACGGGTATCACACCATAAACAAATACAAAGTTGACAAGGTACACAGGGAGTTACCATTAATGTGGAAACAATCTCAGATCAAAGTAGATGAGATTAGAAACTTACTTCCTGGCTTACTCTACAGGGAGCCTCATCATCTGAGTCCTTGATATCACTGAAGCATGGAACATCAAGCGGGGTATACATGACCTCATTATCATCAGTCGGTTGACTTAGTTCCTCTAAAGCATCTTTATCTCTCAGCCAGAAAAATGGAGATAACCTCTGTTCACCCTTTTCACTTCTAAATGACATGTCTCTTTGCGGAACGGTACTCTTTTTTTGTTGTTTTCTGCCAGTCTCACCAGAGATACCTTCCAGCTTGTTTTGATCAGTTGGGGCCTCAGAAGTTTGATATGGTGGTACCTGGACTCTCTTCTTTGCTGGAAATGAAGGTTTCTCTTGGTTTGATTGAGAAGATCTCTGGGAACTCACTGTTGTACATTTCGACACTTGTCTTTGAAGTTGTTTTTTAACTGTGTAGCTTAATTTTTGCACTTGGGTTTTGCCATTATCTTGGACGTTGTGTATATCAACACAGCTTTGAGTTTCTTCACCTGTGAATAAAGAAAATAATGGGCCATTGTCAGGATAAAAACATTTTGCAGGTCATTTCAAGAGGATTTTTTCCTTTCTGTAATCCAAGCAGAAAATAAGAAATCAAAAACAGAATTGAAAGCAAGAAATCAACATCCAGCACCAGCAAATGTTATCTAAAAATCCTTAATCAAGAATAAGAACAAGTACCAGATGTTTTGGTAGGCTCCCCAGCAGTCTGGGTGACAAATATATTGACTCCTGCTGCTACTTCCATGCTCTTATAAACGCTCACCAAATTGTCCATGTGAGGAGCAGGCCTAATTTCTGGTATACGAAAACAAGTTGTGAAAACAAAAATATATATCTCTCATGAGTTACAAGAAACGGAAGGATAGTGACTATTTCATCATTGACTACAAGGCCTCTAGTATCCTTGAGAATAATGTATCAAGAAAAATGATGTGGCAATATATCTTAGCATGTGTCAACTAAACATGGCATTTAGAGTATTAAGTCCTAATCATTTCCATAAATCAGACACGGCATCCATGCATGTAATAAGAAACTATGGTTCTTAATCATATATTACTATATGAACTTGGAGTACATCCACGTATTGCAACATTATAGGAGTTCAATACAATAGTAACAACCAAGCATAGATATACAGATATTTTCATCATCAGTAATGTAATTGATGCAAGTTTAGTTGAACTGCAGAGTGTTTATTAGAATCTATATTTTATATGAACAGTCATGAGAGAAGTTACCGCCCACATAATCTTCTTTTCTGAAGTTTCAATAGCTTTTAACATCCAGAATTCTGGTTTTTCATCAGATTAAAGACAACCCATTAACATACACTTATCAGAAATGCACACGTTTTGGGAATTAAAGTCAACACAGCATAATTAGTGCCGCAATCATGTGAAAGGTGCAGACTTTAAACTATTGCATCATTTTGCACACAGAATTGAGCAATTAAGAGACTCGGAAGTAAAAGACAGGTACCTCTTCGCCTGTAAGGAACTTTACAAACAGGACAGTTGGATGCTGCCTTCATGGATTTATCAATACAGTCACTGTTTCAGTCGAATCAAACAACAAACAAACAAACAAACAAGAAATCGTACAATTGAGCCCAAATTCACTGAAATTCTACAAACAAAAAACAAGAAAACTGATAAACATTTGCTTACTTGCAGAACACATGATTGCAGGTGAGTGAAACTGCAGAACTCAGAAGGCTCAAGCTGTTGGCGATGATAAAAGCACAAAAATGGCAGATGAAAATCAATAAAAATCAGTTGACTGTCTGAAACTTCGTACAATTTGATCGAATATCAATCAAACCAAAAAAAAAAAATACCATATAGGACACTTGAGCTCCCTTCCCATTCGTTCGAGGTGAGATGCGTCTGCCATTGTCGATCTCTGTGTGTCTTGTGTTGTGTGTGTGTGAGAGAGAGAGAGAGAGAGAGAGAATATATTTATGGGAGAGATGAATAGAAAAATGTCTGTATCTTGTGGTAGAAGGATCAGGTTTGTAGTGTTTTGAAATTTTTGAGCCCCGCGAAAATATTTCGTACGATTTTCAAATTCCCGCCGCAGTTCACATTATATTTAGTTATTTACCTTGTCCGATGTCCGTCGTAGTGCATCTTTATGGGCCCATACCCGTCTCTTCGACCCATTTGTCAAGAATTAGAACTTCGGCCCATAATACCATGGGTCGTGGTGCTATTCCATTTTGTAGATTTCTCATGTGTCTTTTGATATTTCTTTTTCCATGTGAAACAATCAAAATATATAACTTTGGAAATTCATTTTATCTAGTTTCTTAAAATTAATATAAATGAATATAAAAAATAACAACCGTATTTAATATATATATATATATTGTTTCAATTAGTTTATATCTCTCTGTAGGATTACTAGTATGTAACTCCGTGCGATGCACGGGCTGTGTTTATTTTGGTAAAATTTATAATTAAATTATTAATCAATAAGTTATAATACATAGAGTATTTGTTAGGTAATAGTAAAATGTTGGTCATGAAAAAGTCATACATTATTAAAAAAATCATCATTTTTCCATGCAAAATTATTTTGCATTTGGCAACCGTAAACCGATATTTACCAATATTACTTTTCATTTGGTAATTGCGAACTGCATAGACACCTTCTTACTTTATTTATTTTTTTTTTTTTTTGGTGTTGATTTTCGTTATGTTAACACCACAAATTAAAATTATAGTGTAAATATGTAATATTGTGATAAATACTAAAGATATGATTTATCTGGTGAAGTTTAATTTTATATAGAATATAAAAAAAGTTGTTACCTTAAAGTATGAATTGTGGGTATATCTTTTTTTTTCAATCATTCTCGTTTTTTATTCTAAATTCATTCCAATATTGAGAACAATTTTGTTTTTGTTATGTTTTAACAGAGATTTGAATTTTTTATTGTATCTTTTGTAAAATAATATTTACAAAAATAATTACGTTAAAAAAATAACAACGATATTTTATCATTTATAGCTCAAAACTAACTAAATCAATCGGATGACATTAAATCAATATTTTTAAATAAAAAAAATATTTTATAACTAAATTGATAAAAAAAATAATTAAAAATGATAAAAAAATCGTGCTAATACAAATAAAAAGTTGTTTACATGCGTAGTAGAATAGTGAATCGAATATTGTGGCAATTTTTAAAAACATGTTACCATGATTGAAATGAAATCTTTACTAAATTTTTTACTTGTAGTTAAGTTGAATATATTGTATAATTATATATAAAAAAAATAAAAAATTTAATGTTGAAATATGCGATTTATTTATATGTATATAATAAAAGTGTACAATCCAAATAATAAAATTTTTTATTTATCATTTATATTATTAATATTGAAACCATGATTATTGTAAAGTTTTTCTCTCATTTTTACGGCAAATTTATGTTATATTAAAAATAATTGAAATGTCTAAAAAAAGATAGAGAGTGAATTAAAAATATTGAATCGTGGTTAAATTATTTGATTCCATAATTATTTTGATTTTAAAATGATACTTCATAATATTTGAATCCATAATAACATTGCTTTTAAATAGAATTGATTCCAAACAATAGGATTTAGTGTTTAATGAAATATTATTTAATATATTTTTTTAAACAATAAATCCGGTTGTCGAGGGAAGTTAAAATTGATTGCAATTAAGTTTTGAGGTATGTTTTAAGGAATTGTGTAAAATTACTATAATTAGGATGTAATTAATACATAATAGCAAGAAATGCTTATTATATTTGATTTGCATTCTTATTATACATATAGATATAGTTAATGTAAAATAATATTGATATGAAAATATTATTTAATGTAATTTATCAAAAAAAAAGGGTAAAATAACCATATGTAGTTATTAGAATACAAATGATTAAATAGTAATTTTTTTAATAACTTTGTAGAATATTAGATTTCTAATTAAACATTGCATTAAAAAATTTAAAACATAAAATTAATAATATATATATATATATATATATTTGGAAGGATAAATACCTTTGAGGTGTAAAGGTCAAACGGGAAACAGTGGAGATGCACGGTCATGTCCATGCTGAAATTATATTATTCCATAGTTTTTGCCTACATATTAGCAAATTGAGATTATATCAGTTTATTCCTAGAATTCAAGATGTATATATAAGTTTATTCCATATATCAATATCTAACCAAATTTTGAAAAGTGAATAAAAGTCGGATTGTATCAATTTATTCCTAAAATTATGGATGCTCATTAATTTCTTATTCCAAATTGTCCTAACATTCTAAATTTAGCATGTAATTAATGAAATTTGCGAGAAAAGGTTTCTAAAATTAAATTATGTTAATTCTTATTATATATTAGTAGATTTGACTTTATAAATATATTTATTTATAGACAGAGAAGTAAGATCAAGTTAGAATGGTTGTAGTGAAAGAAATAAGTATAATTATATGCATTGGATGTTATATATGAGAGTTTCAAATTCAGTCAAAAGCTCCAACTTTGGTCAAACACGCGGTGATTTTTGTAATTATGAATTATTTTGATCGTTCACGCGACGACATTTCATTTCGTAAAAATATGTTGGTGCACTATTGTGAATTTTCACAACGTTAATGTTCAACTTGTCTATCATTATTGTACATTTTGTAGCGTGATGACATTCATGAACTATTAAATGTGCATGCAGTGGCAGTTTTGTAATTTCGTAAAAACACAGCAGTATTTTTAATGTGTATATCCTCACGTAATATTTTGCATATCATATCATTTTTTGTGCATTTATCAAACTCCTGATTAATTGCATTGTTGATCATAATATTTGCAACACAAAGCACCGATTTAGTGTTGATTAATGAAGTTATTTAAAACTTGGTGTATTACGACAAATCTGTGTAAAATTAAGTTTAAACGATATCACCAAGTATGATTAAAGAGCTTGGACGATGTACCAAAAAAAAAAAGAGCTTGGATGCTCGTCATAAATGTTGTATAATATTTATTGAGTGAACATATGTATTTTTTACATATAATTTTTCTGAACCACGTCTCAGAGATTCATAGAATTATTTACAATAAATATGACCCAAATACTGTTTATTGGGCAGTACAATTTGAACATTAAATATAAATGGCCCGCATTTAATGTTGCACATGACATATGGAACTTTTTCAAGTAGGCGAACAGGCTTTTGTCAAGCTTGTCCCGTCATTCATGATGCGGCTGCAAGTTGCCATTGTTTAAGAAACAAGACTTCAAAAATATCATTTTTCAACCAACTAGTTTAGTATCGTTACACAAGTTTTAATATTTCTTTATGCTTCATCAGGGTAACACAATTAAAGAAACAATTTTTATTTGTAAGAGTTAACAATTATCACATAAACATAACTTAATGAAAAACTATCAACAATATTTCAATCCAAAAGTAATGAAAACATACAAAGATGAAACCAAATGGAGTTCACGTCTCAAAAATTTATGTTCCAACATGACATGGGAAGCCAAACACATTTTCCTATTCATCAACCTTTTTCACATTTTTTCCTTTCCTACTATCTAACAAAATTTTTGTTTTTTAATATCTAAGAATTATCATATAAACATAACTCATCCAAATAGTTCTCATATTTACTCAAACCTACAAACAATACTTTCAATACAAAAGTTAAAAATAAAAAAAATACAAATATGAACCCAATCCAAACATTTGAATACTCACCAACAAATCTTCAAACTCAGGTAACAAAATATCCACAAGACTCAATCAAATATACAACCTCAACGGCATATAACAAGTTACCTATATCTTTATATCATATTATTGATTTGATACATGACTCAATATCTATGCAACAGAACAAGAATTAGTTTTTCAGCATACATAGCTAAGTGCCAAACAACATAACTGTGTGGTTGGGAACAGAGGTCCTAGTAATTTGGAAGATGGTTCCAACCTTAATGGCAAATATGTCATCTCAGGTTTACAAAACCGACGTGTCAGCAAAAGATGTACATTATGATTAAAATATAATATTTTGTCGAGCACTACTTTATATTAAATATTTAGACTAAGATAGTTGATATATGAAGAATAGAGGTGAAATTTGAGATGTGGTTTGCTAATTGATTTTTATTCTTGAAAATTTCAATATATTTAAAAATCAAACGTACTATAATAGTAAATAAATTGAATATCTCATTTACTTACTTATTTATTATTTATCATTGTTTTCAATCAAATATGTACAAAAAAATTTAAAAAATTAAACTTAAATGATAAAAATGAAAAAATTAAAATGACATTTATACCTTTAGACCTACTCCAATGGTACTGCAAAACCCAAATTTTGCAGTAGAATTTGCTCCAACCGTACTGAAAAACTCATCGCAAAATGAGTTTATACCCTTCTCTCTCTCCATTTCGACGCAAATTTGCGTCCGACGCCATTTTTTGCGTCCAATCTTTTTTTCTTTCATTTTAGTCATTCTCTTTTTATTTATCTCATCTTCTTCTTTTTTTTTTTTAATTTTAGCCCCATAATTATTAATTTAGCTCATATGATATTTAAAATTATGAATTATTTTTATATATTTTTAAAATACTAAAAAAAAATCTTTATTCATAAAAAATAAATAGTAAAATATTTAAAATAATAAATATTATATTTATCAGTTAATGTTATATTTTTTACAATAATAATATAAATTATACATGTTATTTATGGTATTTTTATTTAACAATAAAAGAAAACACTAACATTAAATAACAACAACATTACGAATACATATTGAAATAACATTAGTACGTGATAGATCACGGTTCAAAGAAAAACATTTCAAT